AATACCAGTATTTTCACTATAGTACAAAATTAATTCTTTGGACTTCTGACAAAATGGTTCTAGCTGTCAACTTAAAAATATACAAAGATACAACGAGTTTTAGAATTCTTTCTGAGAATTCTAAAAGTGTTTAGAATTTGAAGAATCCTTAGAATTATTTTTTCAAACCACATGAAGTGATTTGAAGCCACTCTTTTAAAATGATCTAGTTTTCTACTTATATTTCACAGTGTATTTATTTTACTAAGGTGGCCCCTCAGCCTAATAAACCCTTTCCAACATTTCTTTGGTCACCAAAAATCATGACTCTTCAAGATTTCACCAGTGCTCTATTTCTCTTTGAAAATCTCCCTCATTCCAGTACCCTGACCCCTGCCATAACCCATGACTTCTTTCACTATGTCCTATGTTTTCACAGCTATCCTGACTTGCAGTTACTTGTATCTATCTGTCCAAATATATGATAAATATTCTAAAAGGTTTCACTGTTATACAACCTAATAAATTGCTTTGTATCAAAGAAGGAAGGGCTTCAACAGCACTGTTGAATGACTTAATATTTTTATTAATTGTAGGAAATTAATTGAAGCTCCTTCAAAACTGGAGAAATGATAGCAAAATGGATAAAATTAGAGAATAACTTGCAGGGAAAGACATTAGGAATAATCGCTTGGTTTTTGGCTACTTGGTTTGGATAAGACTGGCACAGCAAAGTGGAGATGTCCTAACACCAGAAATAGGAGACTGAAGTGTCTGTGAAAGAACAGAGCTCACGAGATAAATTAAGGAAATAACCTGAGAAGTAATGACAGATGAGTCTCTTAAAGCGGATGAGCTCACTCTGGGAATGAGTCCCAGGTTAGCATAAACCATTCAGATGAAGGGAAGAAGGTCAGTAAGAACAGAACTGGCAGGGCTGGCAGGGAAGGTGACATGGGGCCTCAGTGCATGGGGCCTGATGAAGTGATGAATGCTGTTGAAGCCCTGAGACTAGTCAAGTAGGGTAAAGACTGAAAAATAGCCAAAGGGAGATAGTGGGGCAGAGGGAGATGACAAGAGTATGGCAAACGTTCCTTACACTGTAAAAAGGTGTAGAAGCCAAAGACAGACATTTATGAATAAGAACGGAAAGCAGCACAGAGCACAAATTTAAAGTGCGTCAGTATAACATGTGCTGAAGCCATGAGAGATGGCCTAGACAAATCAAGAACAGAGTTTGTTGCTGCCGTTCTTTTGTTTTAAAGTTAAGAGATGCTTCAATGGGAGGAAGAGGGCCTCACAATAGAGAAATAAGAATGATGGTGGAATTTTAGGAGATAAGTACAAGGGGACATACTTAATCTATGGCCTGTAAAATTCTTACATATCTTTTCCTACATTCTGTATTCAGCACTTTTAGTATTCCAACATGCTTTAATATAATGTATCATAAACGGAAGCTCTAGTATTGTTCCTTAGAAAAAAATAAGCTGATATTTAAGATAAAGACAAAATAGTATATCAGTTAGAATTATATATACTCATTAGCATTATCCTAAAGCTTTTGTGCATTGTGATATTATGTGAGAAAATAAAAATGACTTTAGACTGAACAAGCCTATGTTGATAACTTAAATTCTATTAAATATATCATGCCAGTATCACTTACTTTAGATTGTAAGTTTCTAAGCCTTCTAAGATTAATTGCATCTTCTTACAAAAGTCAGTTTTCTGTGATATCCCCAATAATCATAAATTATCTTTTAATCCCTATTTTGTTAACATGAATAGAAAAAAAACAAAAATTTCAGATTTACCTTTTTTAAAAATCAAGATACAACTTATAAAATCATACTATAAATAATATCTCTTGGGAACTTTTGAATGAAGTTTAACATCTACATTAATTTATCATCCTTCTGAAATATGATAATAACAACAAAGCATTTAGAGATAATGAAAACAGCTATTTGAAATGATGTAAATCAGGGATAACTATGCCAAAAGAGTCACACTTGCCTTAATTTTTCAACTGTTCAAAGATATCTACAGAGTATAGCTTTCTAATGACTAAATCAGCCTCTCGAAAGCCTTCGCCCAGTAAAGATGATGAACGAGAAAAAGAAAGGAGAAGCCTACCAGCCTACCTTTCACACATTCATTTTTACAACTTTGAAGTCCTCTACAAGCTAAGAAGCTTTTTTAATTAAAAAAAAAAAAAAAACAGAAACAAATCAGAGTTCAACAACAACAAAAAAACTAACAGAACTACATGAGAATTTTCTCTCATCAGCCATTTCCAGCCTACTTGGTCCTCTCTGGAGAATCTCAGAAGGAAGAACAGGATGGGGCAGAACTAGTCAAGACTCCAGGTATAAGCATAAACCAGGAAACTAGCTTTCATAAGCGAGAGACCACGGGCAGAGGATACCAAATACTTCTGTGTATCACTTTTATATCCAGAGGGAGAGGATTCTGCTCCTCAAGATTAGGAAAAGAAAACCTTCTGCACCATTCGGATGATTTCAATCATGGTACTTTTTCTGAACATATCAGTTAGTGAGTCAGAAGCCTCCCCTCATCTCTCTACTTATTACCATATTTTCTTTTCAGGTTTAAAAAAATGAATTATTTATTTTTATAAGAAATATAAAATAGCAATGAGGGCTTTCAAAGAACAAACAATCCTTCTTAACTAACCAATTAACCATTAATAGCAAACAGAGTCCAGACATTTGCTTCCTGGTCAGATACTATGACTTCTTATGTGACATGATGTCTCTGTACAGTTTTAATTCAAGAAGCATTCATCCAATATTTGCTAAACATCTAATGTTTGTCAGGAACAATCTTTGGTGTTTGGGATATATCAGTATATATTCTGGGATATATATCAGTTATTTGATACTGTTGGCAAATAACAGCATCTGCCCTTCTGAAACATATATATTCTAGAGCAGGAAGTGGGATTGGGGATGGGGGAAGAAACCCCACAGCAAATATAGTAAATAAAATTCTGTAATAGGCTAGAATATGGTAAGTGCTATGGAAAAAGAGAATACAGATCAGACTAATTTCTGGTGAACAAGTTTGAAACAAATGTATGAACTCTCAAATCTCATATACATAAACCAAGCTTTAATAAGACTCCTTGTACAAGTTTTGTCATTAAAAATTCAACATATAAATATGTTGTAAACATCAGACTAAAAGTAAACCTGAAAAGACAATTTAAAGACTCATGACAGGAAGGACTTGAGTGTCTTTGTCCCCACTGTATCCACTGAGCCAAGAACAGAGCTTAGCTCATGATGTGTACTCAATAAATATGAGTTTGATGAAGGAAGTGAAAAACGATTGGGGACAATGGGGATGAATGAAAACTGATGAGGATTCTTGAGATTTCAGGCCATAATAATATGTGAACTGCTCAAACTCTTCGTATGCTCAAGGGACAAAATCTGACTTTCAACCTAACCAAATTCTTTATAGAAAACCACATTATAATGAAATTTTTGCCAAATGCATGTTTACTGCATCTGAGTTGTTGATTGCAGCTACTCTTTTGCAAAGGAGATGGAGTCAGTTTGTGGTATATTTTATTTTTCTACTTTACTACAGAGCCAGCAGCTGATAATGTGTTGTCATGCTAGGAAAGGTAATTAAAGGGCTATACAGGGAGAATTAGACGTTCCTCCGCAGTTCCAATAAAAAGTAGAAAAGTATAACCATGTTAATTGAAACTCCTCTTATGTCCTGTAAAGAAGGAGAACTGTCTTATCCTTATGCCAACTGTGGCAAGGCTCAGAGGAGTTGGCCTTCAGGACATCAGGTGAGGGGGACTGGAAGGGGGGTGGTCCAAGTATGGAACGTTGTCACTAAGTTTTCAGACGCGGCAGCTCAATATGGTGAAGTTAAAAGAGTTTTTTACAAAAGAACCTGAGTAGCCAGCACTAAACTATGCATGAATTGTCAGCTTAAGATCTGTGGTTATCTTCTTCCAAGAAGGCAGAGAACACTGCGGTAGTTCTTTGCGTTACATTAGTTGTCCAAAAGCACAAAAATACCAGCTTTTAGAACATATGAGTCTCAGAAAAGTCTATGTCAGTTTTTAATGTACAGCAACAATTATTTTGGTTGTCTGTACACATGAGATCCTTTAGGGCAGAAAATCATATCTTTTTCAACTTTTTTATTGTATAAACTCAATAAATGCAGAAATGCCATCTGTTTTGTTTTGTGAGCAATGCTCGGATGAATATTAGTTAATACTATAAATTAGAAATTATGATCAGCTTGCATGACAAGGAGATAATTATGGAAGTTATATAAAAATTGGCATTTATCAAGGATCTAAACTTTCCAGACTGGACAGCTAGGTTGGCCACATTTAGTAAACAACTGCTCCATTTCCTTTTGATCCTCATAAAAAGTTTTAATAATTTAAAAAATTATGTATATCACATAATACTTTTCATTAAAAATTCTGGCTTTAAAACGGGACTGGGACTGGCTTAAAAAATGAGAAGAGTTAAGGAATAGTCTCAATATTAAATAAAAGGCTTACAGTGAGACACAGAGAGGACATTAATAAGATCAAGATCATCTGATTCTCAGGCATGTATTACTCTTTTACTTGATATGCTGACAGCTACATACTGACATATACTCAATTCATATAATTATCACAGCATAAAGGAGGAGTGTTTATGAAGGCAAGGTCATTGATAATGTAAAACAAAAAGGTCGCAGCATGTCCACTATGGGCAAATGCTGAAACATTATTCATTTAATGAGAATTAATAACACATTAAAACCTAGAATTAAGCACATAAAAAGGAAAAGCTGCTGCCTAGTCTCAGGGAAGATACCGCCCAGGCAGTAGTTTGATTCTTGATCTGCCTTTTCACTTATTTAAACATGTTCCTAAATATCTATGCCACAGATAATGGGTAACTTTTCTTTGTTTTGCAGAAGTTTATGGGATATATTATAGCCCCCACATAAAAAACAAAAAGTACCTGAAGAATTGCAACCTCATTACGAAGCTGGCTTTCTTGTTTTGTTGGAAACCTTAACTTGTCAATGATCTTAATAGCTACATCTCTTCCTGTTTTACGATGTTTACCTTTAAAATAAAAAAGAAATATTAGCATAATTTTATTAAATATCATTTCTATTGAAGAATACCAGAATTTATAAAGACATTTTAGAATTATAAAAATGCTTTACTGAAAAAATTAACATTTCTGGTGAGCACTGACTTTTGCCCATCAAGATTTCATTTCTTAGCTCCACTATTATAGATCAAATATACACTATAAACTTAGCCAAATTCAAAACACAAAAGGATTAGGACATTAAAAGCTATTCATATGAACAACCTGATATTTTCTTATAAAATATATGTTTTAGAAACAGGATATTGAGATACTTAATATGGAAAATATTCATACCACTGGCAAAAGTACTCTCCTAAAGAAAGGATGAAGTCCTGATAAATTAATGTATGTTATAACAGAAAGAATAAAAATCTTGCCACTAACAGCTTCATGGTCTTGAGCAAACCACTAAAGCTTTCTGAGTTCCTCATCTTCAATGGTAGCACTGTTGTGAGAAATAGATGTAACAAGATATGTACAGTACACAGAGTGCCTAGATAACTATACACACTCAAAAAACATCTTATCATCATTATAAGCACCATCGTCATCATCTGACAGGCCTTTTACATACATCATAGTCAATGTAATTCTCACAATAAACCTTCTAGGGAATCAAAGGGTCCCCTCAAGCTGTTCACTTCTACACTACCAGATTATAGAAGATACAGAATATAGTCTGCTAATTGAATTTGAAAGTGAAACTAATTACTCACTATTTTTGGTCACATATAGACTAATTCGAAATTCTATTATTTCTACATTTGGTGTAATTCTAGTGTCCCTTCTCCCTACAACCACTTTCACTGTTCCTTCCAACTCCTCCGAGAAGGCTTCCCTTCACAATTGACAGAACTATTGTCTTGTTTTCATGTTCTTTACTTTGACTGGCTGCAATCTCTATTCCAACTCAGACTTTTACTGCAAGTACTGCCTGCGAGACTGTGGCTTTTTTAGTCTCCACATTTCTGTCGCTATGGCACTTGACCTGTCTTCTGGGACTGCTCTTATCTGCTTCATCTGTTTGTGTCCAGGTGTAACTTTCTAGTCTTCCTTGTGGAGGCCTCCTGCTAAACCCGCTCCTTCACTGTTGGATGTTACAAACGATCTGGCACATGCTGGTTTCTCTAATCTCATTTCTTACCCATTTCACCCCCACACTATATTCAGTTATGTATATTTACCGTACTTCATGGGCTTCCCTGGTAGCTCAGCTGGTAAAGAATCCACCTGCAATGCAGGAGATCCTGGTTCAATTTCTGGGTCAGGGAGATGCCCTGGAGAAGGGACTGGCTACCCACTCCAGTATTCTTGGGCTTCCCTGGTGTCTTAGATGGTAAACAATCTGCCTGCAATCTGCCTGGGTTCGATCCCTGGGTTGAGAAGATCTCCTGGAGGAGGGCATGGCACCCACTCCAGTATTCTTGGGCTTCCCTGGTGTCTTAGATGGTAAACAATCTGCCTGGGTTCGATCCCTGGGCTGAGAAGATCCCCTGGAGGAGGGCATGGCACCCACTCCAGTATTCTTGTCTGGAGAATTCCCATGGACAGAGAAGCCTGGTGGGCTACAGTCCATGGGGGTCTCAAAGAGTCACACATGACTGAGTGACTAAGCATAGCACCATGCTCTATACACCATGATTTTTTTTTTTTTTGCATGCATGCATGCAATTATTACATTGCAGAACAATTCCCTGTGTTGTACTTAGTCTCCCCAATCACACCGTTAGGCCTTGACAGAAAATACAATGGTTGCTGACTCACTGACAGGTTTTCTGTCAAAAAAAAATGATTTGTACATTTTATAAGAATCAAAATTACTTTGTAAAACAGAGCAGAATTTAATTAGTTTTTAAATAAAAAAGCACAATATTATACTATGATAAGTAATAGAATCAAACATTGTGATTATTTCAGAGCACCCCATCTCACAAAAAAGATAATCCGTTACAGATTATATTAAGTAATTGAAAGTTATGAGGCCCTTTTATAGGGCAAATAAAAAAACTGATATCTTTGAACTGACTAGAATCTAAGACAGAAGTTTTAACTAAATTCACCAAATAACCTGAGAATAAGAAAAATGTAAAAATTTAATATTTTACTTCAAACATGTAAAAATTGCAAACCTTAACAAAATACATAACATTCCTAAAGATGTTAGAATGGAAGATGTTAGATTCTAACATCTAATAAAGACGTTAGAATAGACTAGTTTTTGCCTAGTTACATGAATGGATTTCTATAGCACTGTGACAAAATATGCTAAGAGGAAAAAGAATGTTTCCAAATTACAGTTTCCTTGTTTCTCAATATTTTGCCTGTATAAACCAGTATTTAACCATTACTGTATATAGAGTTTGTCAACATTTAAGCAAAAGAAATTTTGTAGGAGTAGAAAAATTTCTTTCAAAACAGACATGTGCTAATTTCCCAGTTAGTGATCACCTCAAGAGAAATTTCTAAAAAGGTAAGTGACAGAAAGACATAAATACAAAACACATTTACATATAGGTTTTTATATTCTTCTTGGAGATATTAAATTTCTTAACACAAGTAGCCAAAACTTTAATAAAAATACTTGGTGAATCAACATACCTCCATACACAATTCCAAACTGTCCAGAACCCAGTACTTCATCAGGAAAAATCTGATAAACTGTGCTGATGTCCTATACGTGCAAGTCCAGAGAAAAACAAACATGAAGTGGAACAACATATTAGTCCTAATAAACTCTATAATTTTATTAAATATATCATTAATATTTGATGAATTTAAACATAAACAATTTAAATGCCAGATGAAATCTACAATATAATGATAATATTAAAAACTCATCCTTCAATTTAATGTTATGTTTGAAAACTATTCTGCTCTTAAGCAGCAGAAATTTTTCAGTGTTCAAGTAAATAGGTTTCATTAGGGAGAAAAAAAGACTTAAAACTATATAATGTCATTTACATATATAATGCCAGTATTTAAAAACAGATTTGCTTATTGGGATGGTTATTTAGAAATTTCACATTAAATAATCATGATTCCCAATCCCAAGTCTGTGTGAGTCCTGATTCCAACCATTTCATTCTTTATGGCTAAAATGGTAAGGCTGCTTCTTTATCAATCATCTCCATCAGATGAATTTAAACTGGAAGGAAAAGGGGCTGAATCACTGTGAATGAGCCAGAGACAGAACAAACCAATAATGAAATTTTCATTTACAAGGTGACCAAACTGTTTCACTTTTTCCACTTATAGAGGTTACACGTTTCCAAGCATCTACTCTTTCCTCTTTGAAATAATAATTGCTAAGTAAAGCATTCAGTTTTAAATGACTATGTTTACAATCTGTGAAATGATGATGACAATAATGAAAGTATAATGTAATACTTTTTCACTTTCAGTATTGCTATGACATACCATGGAATTTTCTGCCTATCCTCTACCCTTTTACCATTGTCCTTTCAAAACCAAAAGTCCTTTTACATCACATCTTACCCTTTGAATATTCTATATATTCCTATCCTTTTCCTTCGTCTCTCCTCCAGAAAAAAACTATAAGTTCTCTCTAGCCTGTGATCCCTTCAGAGTATCTATGGTTCAGAGTTCAAGGTTGTCTGAAGACAAGAGAAGAAATTAATATACGCTAGTAGTCTGAATCCTACTACTTCAAGTATTACTTCATTTTTTTCTAATAGCTCAAAGGCCACCTAGAATTTGTGGGTGGAAGAACCGCAAAGGAATCTAGAATTTCCCAAGAGATTTATAGGTAGATAAGTATTTCTTAAAGTCTTCTCTGGCTAAGTAAGAGCTACAGAAATCTTCATCTATCTTGTGACTAACAGAACAAGAGGTCTTTATCTATCTTGTGACTGACTGAACAAGAATACAGCTAATTTTTGTTATGAACTTTTCCTACTTCTCTCAATTATATTGGTTTTTAGTTTACTTTATGCCAATTTAGTAAAGGTTGCAAAGTTATGCTGGTGATAAATTAAGTTTCACGGAGTCTACTTTTTAAAAAGTAAACTCAAACCAGTGTAAGGCTACAAATATTTTCCTTTTGGTCACAGGCACAGCAGTCAAAATTGAGGGAAAAATCTGAGTCACAGGATGAGGTAGGAAAGGCCTCATTACTTTTGGGCTTCCTGCCACAGTGACAAAGTATAATAAAAAATAGCAAACATATGACAGAGTGTAAATTAACTTCATAATATGTATATGACCTACATAGAATTTTCAAAAACTGAGCTGATGGAATTAGGTGGTACAGTTGACTAGAGTGCTAGAATGTGGCCCCATAAAATCTCATTTACACAGTTTTATCAGGTCTCCTTGATAAGTACAAGTGATGGTAAGTGTATGTGTAACTCCTTGTCATATGATAGCACTCCTGGGTGGCAATCAGGGAAACAGAATAAGGGCATGTTTAAGCTACTCATGAAACTCAATAATTTATCTATTTTATCTGGTATTACATAACATCAACCATTTAAAATTCCAGTATCAAGATGGGTCAAATACATAAAAAATCAGGCACTGCATTATAATTGCTTACCTGAAATGAATAATAGTTATTTAACTCTGCACACTACAGAATAGATTACAGAAAATCACTAAAGAATTGATACAATGTAATGTTTCTAAAATTTTATAGAGGAAAAACATCCAAAGGGACCCTATTTAATTTTATAGAAAATATTAAAAAATTAAAATGTCAGATCAATAAAAATGCATTTTATGATGCTCTTATTTTCCAATAAAAGATCACAGTACCAAGTTTCATGTTAGTAGGTACATACTCACCACATTTTCTTGAATCTGGCAGTTTGATACTGAAATACTCACAGAAATATCTCCTAGAAATACAAGTTAAAAAGTACACAGAAGAAGTAAGAGAGGTAATCGCAAAATAGGTAAACACATGCTTACTAATCAAGCTGCAGGGGTGTTCTTAAATCACAGCAATTAGACTTTTCTAAGAAAATATTAGAATATTTGTTTGCTTTTACAGTTACAGATTACTCTGTACTTGGCTTTGAAAAATAATAGTATTTTGTCAGTTTAGAGTTGGAAGTCATAAAGATTTGGGTTCAAATTCTGGTTTGCCATTTCTTAACTCTGGTACAAGCAGAAACAACTTAATGTTACTAGGGTCTGATTCCCTTACCCGTAAAGCAGGCAAAACATCAACATCCATCTATTGGAGTTATTTTAAAAATAGAGATCTCACATAAAATAGTTAGCACTCAAATAGGCATATATATCTTATTAATATGTACTGAGCTTCCCAGGTGGTGCTAGTGGTAAAGAACCCGCCTGGTGAATCCCATGGATGAAGGAGCCTGGCAGGCTATAGTCCATAGGGCGGCACAGAGTTGAACATGACTGAAGCTACTTAGCACGCATGAATGCAATATGTGTACTGGTTGTAGAGATCGACTAAAAAGTTGTGACAAATCAAATCTATCACAGATCATCAGATCACCGTGATGAGAAAACAGAGGGTTCTTTGCCACAGGCTTCATTATTAATAGCCATTATGAGATTTTTAAGTTACACTTGTATACAGATACTCCTCTAAAATATCTTTCAAAAATGAATCCTCCATTTTTGATCTTGATTGAATTCTGGTAAAATTTATCTTATACTACAATGAACTTTGGCCACCTCATGCGAAGAGTTGACTCACTGGAAAAGACCCTGACGCTGGGAGGGATTGGGGGCAGGAGGAGAAGGGGACGACAGAGGATGAGATGGCTGGATGGCATCACCAACTCGATGGGCATGAATTTGAGTAAACTCCGGGAGTTGGTGATGGACAGGGAGGCCTGGCGTGCTGCGATTCATGGGGTTGCAAAGAGTCAGACATGACTGAGCGACTGAACTGACTGACTGACTGACAATGAACAGAGAGATCTACCTGGGAAAAAAATGATTTAAGAGTTTCTAAGTATTTGAGCACGGAGAAGGCACTGGCACCCCACTCCAGTACTCTTGCATGGAGAATCCCATGGCCGGAGGAGCCTGGTGGGCTGCAGTCCATGGGGTCACACAGAGTCAGACATGACTGAGCGACTTCACTTTTACTTTCATGCCTTGGAGAAGGAAATGGCAACCCACTCCAGTGTTCTTGCCTGGAGAACCCCAGGGACGGGGGAGCCTGGTGGCTGCCGTCTATGGGGTCACGCAGAGTTGGACACGACTGAAGCGACTTAGCAGCAGCAGCAGCAAGTACTCTGAACACTAAGTCTCCTGCAGAGAGTAGCACATTCGGTGGTTTTGGAGGACTTGTGTTAATTCAGATTTGCAAATAGCAAAAGTGGCATTCCAGTCAAGCTCGAGCTGACAAGATTACTTCTTTTATCACCAACAAGATTACTTCTTCCTTTATCACCAGTAGCCCAAGTTTCTGCTATTATTGGATATACTGGGTTGACATGCATTTGTTCAAATTTTTAATATAAAATAAAAAATAAAATAGGATAATTTAATGAATGAAACACCTTAGTATATGTAGCAGCTTTTATTTGGAGATCCCCCCTTTTTTGTTGTTCAGTCACTAAGTCATGTCCAACTCTTTGCGAACCCATGGACCGTAGTACACTAGGCTTCCCTGTCCTTTACTATCTCCCAGAGTTTTCTCAAACACATGTCCATTGAGTTGGTGATGCTATCCAACCATATTATCCTCTGTCACCCACTTCTCCTCCTGCTGTCGATTTTTCCCAGTATCAGGGTATTCCAATAAACTAAACATCCCCAAAGAGGTTCTCGTCACCTGTTCTGAAGACAGGCAGAAAACTAGCAGACTCACTGTGCACGCTGGTTCCTGAGCCCACAGAGGACCCCTTGGGTATGACTGGCATGAGAGCATGCTGGATCGCCATCTCCCACATCCTGGCCACATCGGCACCAACACCACTGGTGAGGACACTGCTATTTGGTGGTGGGCTGGAGGGGTTGACCACATTTTCTCCCACATAATACACGATGTTTGCTGTGGTGATCTCAAAACAGTGAGGGTTGGCCCCACTAGGAATTAAAGCTGATGGTTTTGCTGGTTCCAAAGATAAAATTTCTGATAAAGGTATTTCCTGTGGAAAAAAGTGTGCACTAAATGGAGTTTATCAAAAGGATAGAACTTTCAAATAAAACTCATGCCAGGGACATGTAAGAAATGACATTATACTCAGCTATCATTTCTATAAAACAGCTTTGTAAGACACAGAATATAACTAAGAAAAACACAAAAATAAAATTATCTCCTTTTTCCAGAAAAATTCAAGTGGCTTTTCAGTATGTTCATGCAATAAGAATAAATATGAATAATTTTGAACCTGCATCAAAATCTAAGTCTTAGACTATAAATGTTAATTTTAATAACTGTGAGGTAAAATCACAACCCTTTTGAAATGCATTTGGGTATGCACAGCTGTTTTTAAATTTCAACTATTCTTTAAGGCACTGAAAATGAATCATGTAATTTGATTTGATAGATGTTAATATAATAATATAGCGACATGAATAGTTTTAGTGAGGAACACCACAGAGAGTGGTTTTAAAAGCAGTTGCTTTTAAGATAATTTTGATATTAAAAAAAATTAATCACCATATTGTCTTTTAGGATGGAGAAGAAATAATAACTTTTAAACAACTTTTAAGAAATAATAACTTTTAAAACAAATTTTAATTTAAAAGCTAATGAGGTTTCCTTTTTCTCTTAGGTCTGTATAAAGGGGCCATGGAGAATGACACCTACTATCACTGAGCCTTCATTATTCTTGATGGAGCAAATATATACTTTTTCACTCTATATTTCTTTTGGAACCGTGTTCCACTGGGTTATATGTTGTGTGACATCTGTATTATTTCATGTAGAGAGACAGAATGAAAACAGCTGCTAAATTATTTTTCTAGCAGAAAGTGCTCCTTATGATATTGGCAATATATGGAGGAATCATACAATGTTTCTTAACTCCTAGTGACATATTTGCAGGACTACCAGTGCAAAACAAAACAAAGAAAGTTGGACGGAACAGACTTCAGGAATTTACTTTTCACTAATCTTCTGTGACCCTGAACTTGCTAGTTCAATCACACATCCCTGCTAAAATAAGACAGTTAAGTTTCTTCTCCTCCTCCCTCTACCCCACCATCCCATGGGGCCAGAAGCATTCCACTGTGAAATTTGCAATTCACAGATGACTAATCAGCTCACAACCTGATTTCCCCCAAATCTAAAAACTACAGAGAAGAAAAAAAATATCTCTCAGAGCAAGCTTCAGTAAGAGCCACGTTTGTTGGGTGTAATTTTGTATTTCTGATACTCTACATTCCCACAAGAAAGCAAGAGGGGGCATGAGACCTCAGTCAAGGAAACAGTCACCCTTACCTTGTAGTACCTGCTTCCTGTGTCATTCTGAAAGAGGGTAATACATTTGCTATCCAATCTCCAATAGTGCCGCTTCCGCTGAAACAGAAGTTTGATACACTATCTTTTAAAAATTAAAAAAAAAAATCTAAGACAGATAAAATCAAAACATTTTCCCATTGGGGCATAAGATTTGATGGGGGAAAGTGTGCAGCCTTTGGAAGAGGAAGAGTAACAATTTCAAGACTCTAGAAGGTGTCTATTCAGCAAATGTGTAGTGAGTTTCTGTGCCTACATTTGAGAGTTATAAATATTAAAGGAGATGATGTATTAGCACCCAGAGCAGGGCCTGGCACTTAGTGCAAGTAGAATAAATAGAAAACACCGTTTTAAAATTTATTTGATGGCTTGAAGAGCTAAAGGTGGATTAATAGCTGTAATAAAAGGGCTTTACGGGAGGTAAAATATTTATATTCTATTGTTTTAGAACATAAGGCATGCCATGCTGATCCAGCCAGGCATTCTGGCTTCCATTAGAGATGGCCCAGTAGAACTAAAGAATGTTGAGTAGGATGGCAAGGCTGACTCCATGGCATCAACCTAACATTAGAGGAATGCATCAATAGCTTGACTTTCCCTTAAGCTTACTGCAGATCTAAACATCCATGATTTGATGATCAGGTCCTTGTGTGTCTGTATGAATGCATGTATTTCTTCTTTTCAGACTAAAGTGTCCTAATACTATTCTTGGTCTCTTCCACAACCTGTCTTACACCAGTCAAATATATTAAATATGCTTCAAATATTTTACCACATCTAGGAAAGACTGGATGGAATTAAGCTCAGTCCTACAGTAAGTCATGTAAAGCTCTCTCCAGAAGAGAAGGCTGAGATTACAGATATAGCTGTTAGGTTATAGGTGTCCATTTAACTAAAGAAATGATAGGGATCCTACAGCTAGGTGGTGATGAGGAAAACACTACCAATAGCTGAGAAAGAAGCTTATTACTAAAGGTCAGTTAAATTGAAACATACGTCAATACATGCACAACCTCATGCATCAACTATTAGGAAAATAAGAAGTAGTGAGAAACTCAGAGTATAACAAAAATTTTAAATGTGCTGTCTTTTATCTAATAAAATATAAGATTACTATGTTTCTCAATAGGTCAATTTTTAAGTGAACACTTAAGGATTTAAGAAATATATAAGTTATCATTTTTTCTCTCCTTAAAATGCAGTGCTCAAAAATTTTTTTGAATCACAGATGAGCATTCTAAAAGTTTTCACAGCTGCTATAAAAAGATAGGTAGACACTTAAGTTGTTTAGGAATCATCTCAAGTAATACAGGGAAATGACTTTGTTTCCCTGAGATTGCTATCTAGTCTTTTCCAACTCAGTTGTTCGCTCAACTATGGAACACCCAGAGACTGAATATTCTCCCCTGATCCTGTACCCTGCCTGCACTAAGGTTTCTCCTGCTAACCCAGATATCCCACAGTCTTGACAGAGCACCAGAAGCTCCTCTAATTTAAGCTCACAAGACAAGACAAGAGCTTGATGTGGATCTTACCAGCGTGTCCTTGCTGGTGTAGTGGACCATCCATCCTTCCTTCATCACTGAGCTGCTTTTCCTCTTCGTGTGTTTGACAGACTGCACTACTCTCATGAGTGGGATGTTGTTGCTTGTTGATGGACTTGAAAAGTCAAAATAGTTTAAGAAAGAAATGTTTTTAGATACAGATCTTCTTTTCCTGCCTAAAGCCTTATTGCAGCTATTTCAAAGTGAAAGGCAAAAGAAAATTTCAAATCCCATTTTTAGTGAAAGGTATTGTCAGAGTACCATGGTTCAGACTCTGGATGGCTCTGAAGAGTGAGAGGTGCAATCCCTAAGCAGAATAGTAAGCATCTAGGTTTTCAGGTGAACTAAACACTTGCTGCTCAGTATTGGGGTAAACACTGGGTAGATTACTATCAGTGCATGGAGGCCACAGTTCAGAGTCACACGTGAATGATCATTTGCTTAATAAATATTATAGACACAATATTAATCATTTAGACATAATATGTTAATGTGAATTTCAGTCTATCTCTACATAATTTCACAAAAATTAGAATCTGCTGTTCAAACTGTCTTTTAAATAACTATTACTCATGGAATTATGCCCCTCCATCTCCTTCTTTTATATCTCTGTGTCTTCACTAACCCACCACTTACATACCACCAATATTTTGATACTAAAGAAATGTTCACCTTCAAAAGAAAGTGGGGGCATAGGCATTTTCCAGTATTTGAAAAATATTTCTCATGTTATTAAATGAAATAAAATCCAATTATTTTACTGCTCTCATGAACAATTTTAGTTATGAATTTTAGTTATGAAGTGCCAATGAATAGGGCACTTATAAAATGGACATAAAAGTTTGAATTTACTTTCTAATACAAATCAGAGGTTTGGGAGCTATTTTTGTAGAGTCAGGTAATACACATTTCAGGCTCTGCAGAATACTTAACTCTGGCATTGTAGGGCAAGAGCAGCCACAGCCATAGCTATGGACGGGCACGGCTATGTTCCAATAAAACTATGACACAACAGGGAACAGACCAACCTGGCTATAGTGTGCTGACCACTAATATAAAAAATGGGGATCAGCTACAAATCAAAAGTACAGATAATCAAATCACAAACATGAAACTCCACACACTTCTGAAACAAAATCAGGAACAGTAAGGTCCAGACATAAGTGATTCTTGTAATAAAGTGTTAGTAGCTCAGTCGTGCCCGACTCTTACTGACCCCACTGACTGTGGCCCACCAGGTTCCACTGTCCGTGGAATTCTCCAGGCAAGAATACTGGAGTGGGTTGCCATTTCCTCCTCCAGGGGATCTTCCCCACCCAGGGATCAGACCTACATTATCTACATTGTGGGCCAACTATGAAATAGATGGTATCTGCTAAGGTTGATCCCTTGATCTGTGTATTTGCACACAAAAAGCTTTGAATAAATATTAATTTCAAAGCAAATTTTCTGTTTGCAAGTATGTGTAACCCTCACATGCAAAAGAAAATGGGTCAAAAAATGAGGCAATACCAGGAAAGGATGCAAGCTACACTTCTCCAAGGGAATCCTGACCTCCTAGCTCCAAACTTAGGAACTTCCTCATTCATAAAGAAATTATAGGAAAAGTTTGGACATGTTTCAGCTTGGTTCCAGACCACAGAGACAAAACAAACATGGCAAAAAAGCAAGTCACATGAATTTTTTGGTTTCCCAGTGTATATATGTTATGCTTACACTATACTGTGGTCTATTAAATGTGTTATATAGCATTATGCCTTAAAAAAATATCAATGTATATTCTTTAATTAAAGATTAGCTTATTGCTAAAAACTGCTAACCATCATCTCAGCCTTCGGGCAAGATGTAGTCTTTTTGCTGGTGGAAAGTCTTGCCCTATTGTTGATGGCTGCTGACCCATGAGGATGGTGTTTGTTGAAAGCTGGTATTGACTGTGGCAATTTTTAAAAATAGGACAACAACAAAGTCTGCCACATCAATTGATGCTTCCTTTCAAAATGATTCTCCTGTCGCACACAATGCTGTTTTATAGCATTTTACCCACAGAACTTCTTTCAAAATTGGACTCAAACTCCGTACTGCATCATAAATTAAATGCGCATACTACTACTATTACTCTAAATCCTTGGCTGTCATTTCCACAGTCTTCACAGCATCTTCATCAGGAGTAGATTCCATCTCAAGAAACCACTTCCTCTGCTCAACTCTTAAAGTTTTATCATGACACTGCAGTCACAGTTTCAGGCTCCATTTCTAATTCTAGTTCTCATGCTATTTGCACCACATCAGCAGCTACTTCCTCCACTCAAAGTCATCCATGAGGCTTGGAAACAACTTCTCTCATAAACTCCTGTTAATGCTGATATTCTGACCTCTTCTCATTAATCATGAATATTCTTAATGGTATCTGAAGAGAAAATCCTTTTCAGGTTTTCAGTTGACTCTGTCTAGATCTATCAGAAGAATCACTATCTATTTGGCTATCTTATAAAATGTATCTCTAAAAATAATAAAAGTTAAAATTAGTCCTTGATCCATGGGCTGTAGAACAGAGGCTGTGTCAGAAGGCATGAAAACAACGAGAATCTTACCGTCCATCTCCACCAGAGCTTTTGGGTGACCAGGTGCATCGTAAATGAGCAGCAGCATTTTGAAAGGAATTTTTTTTCCTGAGCAATACATTTCAACAGTGGACTTAAAATATTCAGTAAACTATGTTATAAACAGATGCACTGTCATCCAGGCTTTGTTGTTCCACTTACAGAACATAAGCAGAGTGGATTTGGTATGATCGTTAAGGCTTATAAGATTCTTCAGATGGTAAATGAGCACTGGCTTCAACTTAAAGTTACCAGCTTCAAAGTCAGCCTGTCCTTTGAAGCTCTGATGCCAGCCTGTCCTTTGAAGCTTTCATCTTCCAGCTGTGAAAGTCTTAGATGACACTGGCTTCGAATACAAAGCTGTTTTGTCTATATTGAAAACATTATGTGTAGCTATCTTCATTAACTTAGCTAGATTTTTTGGTAACTTGCTGCAGTTTGTATATCAGCACTTGATGCTTCACTTCATACTTTTAGGTTATGGCGATGGCTTATCCAATCTTTAATAGCTTCAAACTCTTCTTCTGCATCTTCCATACTGCTCAGTCTTCATAGAATTGAAAAGAGTTAGGATCTTGATCTGGATTAGGTTTTGCTGTAAGGGAATGTTGTTGCTGGCTTGAACTTCTATCAAGGTTAAACTATCTCCATCAGCAACAGTGCTGTTTTGCTGTCTTATCATTTATGTGTTTACTGGAGTAGCACTTTTAATTCCATCAAGAACTTTTACTTCACATTGACAACCTGGCTGATGGCTTATCTCAAGAGGCTGAGCTTCTGACCCATCTCAGCTTTCAACATGCCTTCCTCACTAAGCTTATTCACTTCCAGCTTTTGATTTAAAGTGAGAGATATATGAATGTTTCATCTGAACACTTAAAAGCAATTGTAGGGTTATTAACTAGCTTAATTTCAATACTGTTGTGTCTCAGGGAATAGGGAGGCCTGAGGAGATGGAGAGAGACAGGAAAATGGCTTGCTGGTAGAGATGTCATAACACATAACATTTGTTGATTAAGCTTATTATCTTATACAGGCACGGTTTGTGGTGCCCCAAAACAATTACAATAGTAACCTCAAAGTTCACTAAACATAGATCACCATAACAAACATAATAATGAACATGTGTGAAATATTGAGAGAATTACCAAAATGTGACAGAGATACAAAGTGAGTAAAAGCTGTTGGGAAAATGGTACTGATAGGTGTGCCCTGCCCAAGGTTGCCACAGAGGTTCAATTTATTTAAAAAAAAAAAAAGGAATACCTGTGAAGTGCAATAAAGTAATAAAACCAGGTATGCCTGTAAACACAACTTTAAGTTTTCTCTATAACAGATTAAAATATCAAAGAGCTTTAAAAAGTAAATAGCACTTGGGGCGCGCCTGTTTGATCAAGCCTGGGAGTGCACCCTCACCTGATGGTTCTGTTGGAGTCCTCGTGGTCTGGGTCTGGATCCTGCATTTCCCCACTGTCGTTCTGGCACTCAGCCATCACCATCTCAGCATCCTGGACCATTGCCTCTTCCATGTCATCCATGAGCCCACTGTTTCTTTCACTGTCATTGTCATCGCTCCCTTCTTCCATGACTACGTCAGACTCTGCCCCAGGGCTAAGCAAATCTACGAAATTGTTTTGCACCCATGAACATAAGCCTAGTATCCTAGAGCCAAGACTTAAGAGAAAGTTAGGCAATCCTAAAACAAATCAACTGGAAGCCCTAAAAATACAGTCATGTGAATAATTCTTTTCTTTCACTTTCCTTTTAAACTTTAGCTCATAAGTATCTGAATTTATGAGAGGATAAATATATAATTTTACAAGTAGATGCTCATTTTTTAGGCCCCTAAGCCTAGAAGCATAAAAACTTCATGGGGAGCCTTGGAAGAATGCCAATGGGTGATACAGAAACAAAGTGCTAGGAAGCAAAGTGATACCAGTGAAGAGGAAACTAATCTTATTTCAGCAGCACAGCACCCTGGTGGGAAAAAGAAATATGTGGGAGGATGTGGGAAACTTTCACATTCAAGAACACTGAATGTCACTGACTCCTGATATTCCAGTAACTTTTAAAATCATGAATTTCAATATATTAAATTGGTCACATAAGCAGCATTGTTTAAATAACTATCAAATAAATATTTGATATTTGAAATAATACTGAACCCTGCCATTATACAGTTGATGCAAATGTAGTATAATTACTTACTAATATAAAGTTCTTACTTTAAAATTAGAAAATAGACTGATTAAAGCCTGTTTAAGGCTGATGGTTTAAATAGCCTGCCAAGTTTGGAAAATGCACATTTTTCCAGATTTTTCAGACTGTATGGAAAAATGCAATTTCAAATTAATCAATATAACAAAAACTATACTGTTTCCCTTTGGTTCCACTTATTTAGTACAGGTTGACATTTCCTGGGCCTGAATAAAATCAATACCACACGCCACTTAAACTGGGAAGACTTCCAAGTTTTTATCTTTGGCAGCACAGCAAAGCCAAAAACTACTATGGTAATGTTTTCCTAGAGAGCTTCTTCTTCTTCTAGAGAAGAAAGTGGAGAACACAGATAATCATTTGTTCTTCAGGATTTTAGCAATACAGAAATAGTCAACCAGCTTCTCTGATCTTTTATCACCAGTTTTCTTCTCAGAGGAATCAATACTCTGATAACAGGCTGAAAGTCTAATGCAGTCTACTATCTATGGGAAAAGTCAGTCTGGGAATCTGTGTCAAATGTTTTTTTCAGAATCCATAAGGAATTCTACCAGGGAAGAAAATGAGAGCTGTTCCTTTAGAACACAGCATTTTTCTTAGGATTCCTTCAAACTTAATCTATGCAATTAAAGTCTTCCCAAAGGAATATTCCTCAATATAGAAAAGGATATGAAGCTTTTAATTGGCTGAATTAATTTCCTTTTATTATTATTAAAGATGCATGTTAAGAAGCACATACACAATGAAAACAATAACTGGATGGATAAAGAAAGTAGGTAACTGTTTCTGGTCAGTCAATTTCTGTGATTCTTCCCTTGACTAACAGGGAATAAAAGTTAACTTTTGTCTCAATGCTTGGAATAAAAAGGATAGAGGAAAAGACTGATAGGTATAACTTGCAGACATTACAACAAATTCTGCATTTCTGAATGAACTAGGATAGGTGTAGAAAATAAGGGAGTTGGGGAAGAAATCCTGGATATCCACATTTTCAGTACGAGGTGGTTCACCATGTAAAATTCCAGAAAATCTCTGGTCTTTATCATAGCACAATGATGGGTACTTTTCTACAGTAAAGTAGGACAGAGGCTATAATTTATTGGGTCACAAGTATCTGAGTGGAAACAAAAGTAAAAAAAATCCCACTACGTCCTATATGACACATGCCTTAAGAGGGAGAGAAGGCTGACCTTTTACTTACCTCCGTTAATGGTCACTTCACCAAGGCAGTTGTTGGGCACTTTTGGTGCACAGCGTTTATGACAGTTGAATCTGCAATCTAATCACAATGATTTTATTCTTGGTGGCTTAAACAACAAATGCAGGAGACCTGGGTTGGATCCCTAGGTCTGGAAGATCCCCTGGAGAAGGAAACGGCTACCCACTTCAGGATTCTTGCCTAGAGAATTCCATGGACAAAGGAGCCTGGTGGGCTACAGTCCATGGGGTTGCAGAGAGTCAGATACAACTGAGCGACTAACACTTTCACTTTCAAAACAACAGAAATTTATTCTCACACAGGTCTGGAAGATAGAAATCCAAAATATTCCTCCAGAAGCTCCAGGGGAGAATCCTGATGACTGGATTCTGATGGTGGCTGGCATTCCTTGGCTTGTGGCCACATCACTCTAATGTTTGCTTCTGTGGTCACGTCACCTTGTCTTTCTCTGTGTCAAACATCTCTGTCTCTGTCTGGTAAAGATGCTGTGATTACATTGAGCTCTCCTGGATAATCCAGGCTAAACTTCCCATCTCAAAAGCCTTAAGTTAATCACATCCACGGAGACCCATTTTCTATATAAGGTACCATTTACAGGTTCTGGGGATTAGTACTAGGACACCTTTAAAGGCCAGTATCAGCAACCACAAGTATGGACACAGGGGAAAGGTTAGATGATGATCAGAAGGGAGGCTAGGGTCAGAGCCAGAGGAGCAAGGTGGAGAGCTATGTGTACATGGTGAGGGGAGGAGGGAATGCTCACAGGAATCAACCTGGGATCAGCATCCAAATGAGCAAGGGTGGTCAGGAAGCCTGTCTGAGATGACGCTAACAGAGGACAAATGACAGAATCCTGCTATTAGGGGAGTGTAAGGTTGAGCCAGGGAAGGCCACTGAGGCAGGGGAAGGAAGGGTAAGCCTTTCATCTATACTGACCTGTGCGTGAGTTAGAAAACACACCCCTTTCTCAAAATGCTTCACTAGCAGCCTTGGAAAAGTATTATTACCACACTGCTATTGTAAGAGCAAGCACACTTTCAAGGACAGTACTGTAGTTAACACAAATCTAATGAGGCCCCTTAGATCTACACAGAGCTTGCAGCATCACAGATGCTGGAATAAACATGTCCAGTAGGGTGCAAGAATCAGGGCGAGTGAGGTTGAGGAGCTCCCCGGTCCAAATGGGAAGCTGAAGGAGGCTTAGGTAAGATCCAGCATGGGCTTCACTGCTGCCCGTGGGTGGGTTTTTATAGCCATCCATCCATCATGTATTATCTCAGTGGGCTAGCTCCACTGAAACTGTCAGGAGCAGGTGGACAAAGAGGCAGGAGGTGAAGGTCTTGAAGGCTGTTTTATTTGGTGCTGATGTTGTAATCACAATGATTTTTTTTAAAAAAATACTAAAACCAAGCATTCATCTAGAAAGACAGGTTATGAGGAAAACAATAATTTCAAACGGATGAGGATCAAGTGTCGGCTGGTGACAAATACTTGGTGGCCAAGTCATCCTTACCTTTGCACTGCAGGCCCTGCCTGAAGAGCCCCTTGAGAAGCTTCTTGCAATACTGGCACACCGTGGGCCGGGTATACGAGTGGATGACGAACGTGTGCGGCACTTTAACCTTGGACAGCAAGATCTTGTCGAGCTGGATGGGGCGCCCAATGTACGACTGGGAATTTGACCTCTTCTCTCGACCAATGAAGGACTCAGAAGGTGACTTTTGCTATACGTGTGAAAGACAACAGGGGACAATAAGTTGTAAAAGACTAATTTATATGTGTATGCATTTTTATTTTCATTTTGATTTAATTTTCAACAAAAGGGTTCACATTATTACTGAGCCAAGGCACCAGTGCAGAAACACTGACACAAAGAGAAAAATCATTTTCCCAATAAAACACATCCAGCTGTTCAGAGAGTAGTGATGTTCCCAGAATGATACGGTAAGATGCAAGCGACCTTGACAGCATAATATATTTATGTATTTTTAAACTGCTTTTTGTTTTACTATTGTATTTAGTGGATTGATTGTTAAGAATGTCAGAGGAATAAACTAAAACTATGTTTCTGTTTTTTAATGTAATTTTCTTCCCCTTTACTTCTTACTTGAGTATCTTGCTTTTACATCTGAAAACAGAATTGGAGATCAGATTATTTGAACCTGATTTCTGGGACTTTAAAATAATTTTCAGCTTTTTAGTTTCACTTGTTTTAATGGAGAAATATAAAGTTGAAAGCAAACCAAAATATGGTTCTAAATCTCACTGCATACACTACTTCACTGACATTTACCAAAGATTCACATGTACAAAATGTAAGAAATTCAGGAGGACAATAAATGAAAAGCAAATCCCCCCAGTCTGTCCCACACAGTACCTCATCTGAAAAGGGCTGACAGTGACTTTGGATTTTCTCCAAAAAAAAAAAAAAATGTATAATTTAAAATTATTCTTCAACCATGTAAAAGTAGAGTTAAACTTATACTATCATTTATATAATTGAGAAACAGTGACTACTAGATTCTATAAGATTCACAAATATTAATGTTTTGGTTACAATTATACCTCTGTACACTCCTGTTTCTCATTTTGTAATTACATCATCAGTTCAGTATATAGATTTAAAAAAATAAATGAATTAAAATGAACTGTGTTTTCAGTGTTTTTGAACAATTTCATGGTACCTCTTGATATCATGGAAATGTACTTGGGAATCATCAGAAATAATAATCATTGGAATAAAAGAACTGAATTACTTTTTAAGAGTCATTATAATTATATAATTCATTTATTAAGCTCTTAACTTAGTATTAACTCTGAATAATCACTGTTTTAGGTACCTTATAAGACAGGCCTTGTTATCTATAGTTGAGGCATCTAATTTTGGGGTCAAATGCTAGTATATAGTACAGTCAAAACACAAATCTACATTTGTCTGCTTCTAGAGCCCTTGTATTATCACCTTACTTAGTTAATTTCTAATTCAGGTAATTACTGAAAAGATGAGAAACAAATCATATATACATATAATTTATATCCCTTTCAATGCCTATCTGCATCAAATGGGAAAATTCTGATTTACAGGTTTCACTAGCTGCAATAAAAACAAATTTGAAATGAGGGTCTACTTAGGGATATTATGTCTACAGCTACATTTATAACTTCAATTCCATAAAAAACTATGAAGCAGAATTATTCCAGAAGGGCTCGACTCTAACAGAGACATCATGGGAGCTTTTAAAAATGAGTCTAAGGTTTGCCAAATCAGAATCATAAATACATTGAATAAATACCTTCAATGGAATTTAATTTTACTGGAAAATAATTAAATTCATTGGGTTAGGTCTCTGTTTTAACAATCCAACGGGCCAGTTTTAAGTACACTAAAATGAAAAGTGGTATTTTTCCACAGTTGGAAAGTTTCACCACTCAAAATAAAAGCTAATCTGTTGTCACACTTTCTTAGCAGACTTACCATGTTCTCAAATTTGGAAAATCATATGAAAAGTTGACCAAATTACTTTTCAGTTATTTAAGAGACTTAATTCTAAGCTGTGTAGACAAAGCCAGTTTGATGTTGGATTATTCAGTATACTATGGGGCAAATTCACTTAGATGAGCAAGAGACAACCAGATAAAGCTGAATGTTTTCTTCTCAGCCAACATGGTAACATTCACATAAACACTACCATAAACCACAAGAGCCAGAATTATTCCTAAGAAGAGTTTTCATTTACTACCTCCAAGGCAGAATTATGTAAGAAATTTTAAAATGCTAATTGATTTTAGGGAAAGGAAACTGGCTATTATTTTGTGGCCAGGTCTGTACTACACATTCAGGCAAAGATGAGATTCACACAGCCACATGTGCCCTTGGCACTGAAAAAAAATAAACTGCAGATTTATAATGTCAAAATGAAGACTAATAGCATTGAAGATATGATAGCAATTTAAGATTTTTAACAACATTATCAAAGGGTCCTCTTGTCATTTATGTATGGTATCTTAAAATCAACTAGCAACACAACCAGACATTCTCATGATTCCCTTTTCTTACAGTTCCAAATATAATCAGTCATTTTCAATGCAGCCCCTATTTCTAAATGAAAAAGTGAAGTTTTAAAATCATGAGATGGGGTGCATGCATGTGGTAATTGATGTACTACTGGAAGGAGAATGAGTTGTTAATTTTACTACATAACAAACACTTTGATAAAGGGATGTTCTGTCTGCAGAACTGTATTCTATGTTTCTGAGAGTTTACACGTATACATTTATACCTGCTTTTCCCTGTTATGCAGCAAAATTAAGAGCTAAGATAAAAAAAGAAGACTGGGTTACTAACTGATGACTTTGTAAATACTTATTGAAATATTTATCCATTCTTCAGAGTGTGAAAAAAAAGCCTTACTGATATATAAGAGATTGTAAAACAAACATAAAAATAAGATCCTATGAAATAAGGCCATTGACCTGTAATATAAATTTACATTTATAATATTTATCTATATATCATTGGTTACATAAATGTTTAACAACCATCATTTCTGGAATCTTGCCAATCATCCTTTCTAATAATATAAAAGCAAATAAAATGCTTCTAAGGATTTTCAGAATCAGTGATACATTTTGATTAATAATTCAGTTACCATTTTAAGAAAGTTACTAGTTGTAATTTCCATTTTTATGTGAAATTTTATTTGAAGGTATATACGCCAAAAATCCACATTACCATACTTTTTTGTTTGATACATCAAGCTACAGAGTAGGCAAAAATTTAGAAGTTAGTAATTTTAAAAGAAATAGAGGATGGTTTTAAAAATCTCATTGATCTAAATTAAACTAGCTTGGACTTCCAGATAATTTCAATAGGAAACCAACTTACAATTCGAAGGGTAATGCTGACTTAAATAACTAGTTTTTATGGAAGAATCTGACTGCAATGCAGAAGCCCTGGGTTTGATTCCTGGGCTGGGAAGATCCCCTGGAGGAGGGCATGGCAACCCACTCCAGTATTCTTACCTGGAGAAGTCCATGGACAGAGGAGCCTGGTGGGCTACAGTCCATGTGGTCACAATGAGTCAGACATGACGGAGTGACTAAGCACAGTACACGGATGTTATGCATTATTATACAAAGTGAAGAGATATGGTATCATTGTATTTCTTAATTAACTTACTTCATTTCAATATTTTTTATGTACTTGTATATTTGTATTAAGGGAAGTGAAAGTGTGAGTTGTTCAGCAGTGTCTGACTCTTTGTAATCCCCATGGACTGTAGCCCGCCAGGCTTCTCCATCCATGGAATTCTCCAGGCAAGAATACGGGAGTCGGCAGACATTCCCTTCTTCTGGGGATCTTCCCGACCCAGGGATCAAACTGGGGACTCCTGCATTACAGGCAGATTCTTTACTGAGACACCAAGGAAGTATATTTGTATACTTAATCATTATAAGTACATTACTTTACACTTTTAAATAAGATCTTTAATTATGGTAGAGAAAATTCTCGCTTACCTATCAGTACTAGTGAATTGATTTTTACTAGGTTTACTAGTTTAACTAAATGGTGTTTAAATTAATCTCCATTGTTACTTGCTGTTCCAGTCTGGCACTGTGTATTTGGTGAACCTGGGCAATCTGCAGAATGAATGTTGTGTTTTTTTTCCCCCTGGGAATAGAGAAGAAAGTTGAAATATTTTGGAAAGGGAGCAGCAAACAGCAACATTTTCTTTCATTCTGCTTCATTATTATGTGTAGAGCAATGACTGGCTCAAAACTCTGAACAGATATAACATTCTCTTCTCTATAATTATGGTAAGCACATGCAAGAGGATGTGCTTCTAAAAATTTACATTTTTACATGAGCCATTGGTCTTATGTATTGTTCTTTTCCTGAGTGGAGGAGTTTGGATCAAATTGTAAGTGTGAAACTTTTTTGAGAGCTGACATCACTGTATGACATGGTGTTGGTATGGACTGATGTCAGTGATCTGATTTGGCAAATTACAGATGACGAAGAGTATAGAGATCTCTCTTATTCTCATTGTAAGAAGGATCACAGTCATGAATGGGAGAAAACACGAAAACAGAAAAATGATGAAAGCTGAATTTTAAAGCCAAGATTAGATATTAAAGATTCTAGAGATTAAAATGTTTTTAAAGACTGTGGTTTCCTGAAGTGTCTGTAACATCCAAATGTTAACAGTGTTTCATGTGAAATGACTGCCAAAGTTAAAACTGTATGCCCTGAACACCTACTTATAGAGACAATGCATCTTGCTTTTCTAGACACTGAATCTGTTTTTTAACCTGGTATATTAAATAATGACTCAGCAAGTCTGGAACCCTCCCAGGAAATGACTGCTTAGATTACATTATGGAAACTCCAACTGCCAGCACATCTTTAAACATTCAACAGGACTCTGAAACAATTTCCCAACAAGGTATATTCCACTTCACAGTTCAAAATGAATTCTCTTTATTAGTAAATCTAAAAAACAGAAGGGAAAAACTGCCTTTACTTGTGGTTTCTTGTCATTTATGTAAAAATTACAAATAAGATTTCCTGAGAGATGAAAGTCACTTTATAAAAAACAGCATTCAAATGAAACTTTATCCAGTATTAAAATATTTATGTTTATTAACTAAAACCCACTTCATAGGCCCATAATGGTGACTGAATTTGGAGTGACATGAATTCCTACTGAGTTAAAGAGAAATG